AGTGTTTCAAGATTCAGATTTTTTTCATCTCACAACTGTGTGTGTGCTGTACAAAAAACAATTGCATTTGAGTTTCTTGCAATTGTGTTTATTCTTGCAGTATTGAGTTTCTCACACAATTCAGTCTTTTTTTCTCCACAATTGCGAGAAACACAATTGAGAGGAATAAAAAAAAAAATTTTTTTAAAACTATCCATGGTGGAAACAAGCTTCCTTAAACTGCTCCCTCTATTGGTCAATCGTTTCAGCTCATGTACAAGCGTCACACTTACCATCTCCACAGCTATCACCTTCTGGCTTTGCCGTTCCACACCTGTTGCATTCGTATCTTCTAGCGAAGTTCATGTTGCCACAAGAGCTGCAAGAGATGGTTTAGCAATAAATATAATTGGAAGTCAGATCCCTCTCAAACACATTCACAAATAACTACATGCACCGAACCTGTTGGGACAAGGCCAGTCTCCACCCTTGACATCAAACGAGGGACCTCCACCAAAGCTACCTCTGCCTCGAAAACCTGGGAGCACAAACAGCAGAAATATGAGTTGCAAAACAACTGACTGGTCTTATCCAAGCAGAGTAGAGTCAGATTTACGAATCATACCACCACCGCGTCCTCCTCCTCGTCCTCCTCCTCCACCTCCCCCTCCTCCTCCACCTCTCTGGGTGAATTCAGCTCTTCTGGTAGCAAACGACACCTTGATGGCTTTTCCTTTGAACTCTTTTCCTGTTATCAGCAAAACAAAGCAGCCCCATTTACTTGAATGCTATTGAAGTCAAAGAGACAGCAGGGATGACTCTCTTACCATCAAACCAGTCAATGGCAGCTTTGGCTGAGGGAGGATCGTCAAAGGACACTGTGGCTTCACCCTTCAGTCGTCCGGTGGCTTTATCAGTGTACAGATTGATCATAAGACTGCCGGTCTTCTTATTGACCTGTCATTAGAGCAGATTTAGTGTAAACCAGGATCCTTCAGGGCTGCGTTTCCCAAAAGCATCATAAGCTTAAGTGCATCTTAGACCTATTGAAACCAATGGAGCCACAATTGACTTAAGCTTACGATGCTTTTGGGAAACACAGCCCTGGTGTGTGAAGTTCATGACCGTCAGGCGAGTAAACTTGCCTTAATGATTCCAATTTGTTTGAAGTAGTCACCCACTTCCTCAGTGGTGACGTCTTCACTGAGACCTTGGACAAAGATGGTGTTATTGTCAGAGTTATCCTGATTGCCATCTGTAATTGGGAGAAGAAACACATATTGGAGTTGAGACGATCACAATATTTACACACCATGCTTAACACACACACACACAAAAAAGGACTTTAAATATGAATCCTGCATGTTCTGCGTCTGAAGCATGCATGGCATTCAGTGTTTTCAGCCTCTGCAGTCTCACTATACGAGGACATAAACAGATGAACAACATTCCCAAAGCTGCTCTGGGAGTCACTTCATGAGCATTTCATATGGAGAAAAATAAAAAACCAGCCTCTCATATATACGTACAAACAAAACTCTTGACAGCAACCCGTCAAAATAAAAGTTTGATTTGCCTTGAAATTGTGACAAGTATATAACTGTTGTACAGAATGCATGCCTTAATGTATTGACACAAATACTACATTTTTATATTGATTAAAATAAATTGTTTTATGCCTTCATTTCATTACCAGAAAAATGTAAATAAAGAATTGGGGGAAAAAAAACAACAAAAAAAAAACTCAAGA